AAAAATGTACCAAATTTTTTACAGTTTACATTGTAAATGTAAAGGACTCAAACAGTAAATTTACCAAGCTCTTCTTAAAAGATGCATGGTACTGAAATCCAATAAAACATTCCTTTATCTTGAGGAGGTTTAAATGAGTGCTTTAAAATTCTTCCTCCTAGTAGTGAAGAAATATAAGTGATTCTGAGGATGTTCCTGAATTTTAAATATAACACAAAAGCTTATATGCTGATTAAAATCCATCTCACGTTATGTATTTGTCAGTGCTCCTTCAGTAATTTGAACTATTGTTCAAAAATATCATCTATTGTGATCCTGGTCTTGCTTTACCATCTAGTGCCTCTAACTTTCTGCAGCTGATCCTTTGCAGCCTGGGGAATGGGTCGAGGCAGGAGAAATGCAGCACTACCCATGGCTGCTTCTCCACATCAGCCAGGAAAACATTCCGGAAGGACTGTGTGAAGGACAGCCTGGGCATCTCGGCCACCTCATATAGGAGGTGTGCCCCAGGCACACAGCGGATGGCTCTGAAAGACAGAGCAGGGAGTCTCTGCTGAGCCCTCTTCTCTGTCCAAGAGACTAGTGTACGGATTAAGAAAGCAAGACAGGAAGACTAACTGCTCTATCTGCACTCATAGGCAGAGCTGTAGACAGAAGCAGCATCGTCCACTGAAGACAATGTAAGAAGAACACACTGATTTCCCACTCCTCATGTTTCCATGTAGAGGAATCTAGACTCGCACTCCTGGCCTCTCCCCCAAACCTTCTCTTAACTCTTTCCTATCGGTGGAGGCATGAACTGTCTAATGGGTGAACTGGGAGGAGGAAATCGGGCATGCTCTGTTCAGCTCTTTGCTTTGAAGGAGCCAGGGCTCTGGCCAGCTGTTCTTGTCTGGTCTCTGCCCTGTGGCTGAGAACCTGCCTCTGCAGGAGGCCTGGAGTCACTGTCTGGGACTTGCCTCGGGGCAATTTTAGCAAACACACTTGGCATCAGATCTAAAGCCACATTCGCAAATGGATTTTTCAGTTATAATGATGATACTTTGACCACTGGAAGTCTGACTTGTAAGTTCATCTCCCAATGGGTTTCAAACTCAACTGGGGGACAGGATATTAGCCACCCCCAAATACAGCAACAGATACTGTATTTTTAATTTAACACAGAATTTGATTTTGAAATTAGCATTTTAATTTGACATTCTATAATTTCCAAAATACGTGACTATTATCTGCAAATCTATTTTACTTAGCGACGAAAGCCGTAGCACTCTACAACACAAGCCCACAGTATTGATTATTACTTGCAGATGATGTAATAATATCTCATACTCTGACATGTTTTCATGAGTACATCAAGGTCCAAAGGGAGACATGGAGAATATCAATACTACACAAATGCCTATATTATTACAAAACACCTCCGAATGGAATTACCTGAGGCTGGGAATCAACAGGCAGAAAAGACGAACAAGCATCATCTATCTGTAGAAAATAAAAATGTCAATTACATCCTGGAAATGGACAGAAAAATAGCAGAAAATTGACGGTAGATTTTACAACGACAAGTTACCTACGGAACATTAATCCAAGTTCCATGACAGTTTAGGATTCTGGATTTGGAAGAGAGGAGCCTCCAAAACTTGATAAAGTCCTGGCATTGAAATTTCCCCAAGATTTACCCCCAGTCACAGGAGTATACATACGTCCCACTGATAGTTGAGGGGAATCATCCAAGATATAAAGATGCCTCATACACTGAGAGAGGGAACTTCGGGTATTACTGAGCCTGAGAAATGTGAGAGCTAACTACACAATGACCTTGAAATGGAGGAGTACCTTCGGTTATCATGTGGTTCTTTATGGCACATGAATCTAGTATCACCTAAATTAACAGAATGATAGCATGATGAACAGCATACAGAAAAAACTCTTCCTACAACACAGGCAATCCACTAGTTCTCTAACATGGAACCAGTGTGAGAAACGAGTTCTATTTTAGAATGAAGGTTTATTGAACAGCAGTCAGCAGCTAGCTGTTCTCAGACGTTATCCTAAAAAGAAAACTTGAGAGACTTTACACCGGAGAATAAGAGATTTATGTTAATCATAAAAAACTGTGCCGAGAATTTAAGCACTAAGCTGCAGGTCTGGAGTTGTTTATGGCATTTATTTCTTTATTGGCCTTTTAATATGGAACTGGAAAAAATTGATACTGATTCTTGTCTGTCTGGAACGATTTACGGTGAGTCCTGTTTATAGCAGAACATCTCAGAGGCTCCTTCTCAGGGTCCCAGGATTCTTTGTTGATGAGTTGAATTTAATTTGTATTCTCACACCAAACTGAAAAGGGGGGATTATTATACTTTTTAGTCATAATTTCTCAAGCTCCTTATTGCTTCCAAGTTGAACATGTCCTCAAATATATGATTCTCTAATTTAGAGAACAACAAAGGTATAAAATATGGAAAAGCATAAGCTTGTATCTCCCTCTTTTTTATCCTCCCAGAACTTGTCATCTTCTCTATATATCACAACTATCTG